GATAGTTGTAGGTTTGTGGTGCGTACAAGTGATTCCAACTGATAGTCGTCGAGATGCTGGAAGGGAGCACAAGTAATCTGGAATTGCCACCCAAAGTTCTCTTGAGCTGTCAAGCATAGATATTTCCCTACTAATAAATGTTGCTAGCGTTACCAGGTTGTACAAATGCAAATATTTATTATATAGTATGCGGAACTACATAGGAATTTCTGGAGAGGGGTGCTCGTAGCCTCATACGACACAGGATGATGGTATTAGAGTACTTTGTTCATACTTCAGACTAGCTGCAAGCACTGATTCTCTTCTGTGTACATGTATGTACACTAAGATCACTGGACAGATGCATTACAAATTCAGTAGGTGGTCCGGGTTTAAAATTTAAATCGCGATGGAATACATTACACAAATTAAAATAGCGACTAAACTCTTCATTACAATTCAGATCAGAATCGCGACGCCCAATTCCTGAAAATACTTGAACTGAGGACTAGAGATGATCAGTAGGCATTAAGAGTCGGAGCTTATCGAAGTCAGAGTGCTCAACCGATGTGGTCATAGCTGAGATTTCAGCTGTCCGCACTCATAAGTGACCGTCGGCCATAGCGGTTCCGCCGCCTGCGTGCATGTTTGCCTCCACTCTTCTCCCCGGCCGCCCGGGTAGCTTCCTAACATATGACCGCGTTCCGTGTCTCCAGAGCCAACTAATTTCCACAGGCACAAAAGTCCCTCCACTGGACGTGGAAATTTTTCTAGCACGACTGACTTCGCAAGTCCTGTAAAGATTGACAATGATTAACGGGGACGAGTTACCGTGTTAGAACATTTTGCAGCACAGTGCGTATCTTGACTTCCTACTAGACTTCAATCCATTTTCGACGGAGCTTTCTGTCACCGCGAACGTTAACCCAGCAGATACGTTTATGAACCAAGACGATTTGCCTGCACTACAAGACGAAGTGCTGAGTGGACCAGCCTACGGAGTACTATTCCTATTCTACGTTCAAACCAAACCTTTTCATGGGTAGCTCTGGTACGGTTGTGCTGACCAAACTTCTTCTGAGCACTTACAACGTCTCCATGTGCTCGGAATCGTTCTGGTGCGGCAGCGTCGAAATCCACTACCCGTTCTACCTTGCCAACGCAACAGAAGGCATCTTTACCGTCCGGACTCACGCTTTTTACTTTGTCATGGATTTTAATGTGAAAACAGAGTCTTGACTCGTGAGTCGTGACCTCTCAGGCGGAACAGTTTTTCTTACAAATTGATATCATGAAATTAGGTTCTGGATAATAACAATCACTAACAACAGATATTACAGCCAGTGTTAACCAGCCTATACGGTCCGAATGGAATTTAACTGAAATCACCCCAATGTAGTACAGAGTTAGTTAAAATCCTATCTTGCCTGGACCAACAAGCTTAGGGATCATATAGCACGCAGCGGAAGAAAATTCTATCGACGCAGGTTCACCCAATTTTCTTCCCAGGCAGCGGACGATGACTGATTCAACGGTTTGGCACGGACCGGCGCAGGACCGCCAAGTCCATGCTACTTCAGTCTCCATCTCCCAGCGTGTCCCACCTCCATGTCAATCGGCTTGTTTGGAGTATCTCCTGCACCACCTCCGGCCCACCACCAACCAGCCTTCGCCGAAACCCGGTCAAGACGTCAAGTCCACGGGACCTATAAGTCACAACTCACAAGAAACCAAACGCGTGCCCAATTGGAGCTAACAAAACTATCTCAAAAAAAAAAGGAGCTAACAAAACAGCCAGATGAGCGTGAACCCACCTCGCCTTCTCGCCGCCATGGCTGTTCACCTACCATGTCTCCCCGTCCTCCTCTTCGTCTTCCTCGCCGTCCATGTCCCTGTTACCCATGCCGACCCTCCTCTTCTGAGCACTTACAACGTCTCCATGTGCTCGGAATCGTTCTGGTGCGGCAGCGTCGAAATCCACTACCCGTTCTACCTTGCCAACGCAACCGAAGCAATCGCCGATTACAGCGGGAACATCTTCTCTTGCGGCTACACCGACTTGAGCATTTCCTGCAAACTCGAGGGGCAGACCTGGATCCCTACCATCCGTCTCGACGGCGACGACTACACCGTCGAGAACATATCCTACCACTACGACCATCAGACCATCCTACTGGTGGACAGCGATGTGCTCGGAGGCGCAGGCGGCGACTGCCCTGCTGTCCGCCATGAAGTCAGCTTCAACGAGACATGGCTGCATAGCAGCAGCTACAACGACAACCTCACCTTCCTCTTCGGCTGCTGCGACCCACGCGGACACGGTCCCGTGCCGCCTGAATTCGACGCATACAAAATCAACTGCACGCAGTTCAAGAGTCCGCCAGGTGCTGGCCCAGGAGACTCCTTTGTGGTCATTATGACTTCTGAGCATAACAGGTATCTGGAGCAAGAATTGGCGATGAACTGCAACATGACTGTCACCGTGCCAGTGAACCACGATGTTCTGATGGCAGCAAGTAACCAGAGCAACTTCACAAGCGGCGGATACGGAGACGTGCTTAAGCGTGGGTTCGAGTTGGAATGGAGCCGTATCACAGGCACAGAGGATGGGTGTCACCTGTGCGAGGCGTCGAACGGGCAATGCGCCTATAGCCAGCACAGGGAATTCCTGGGCTGCTTGTGCCACAGAGGGAAGGTGGGCAGCCCGGACTGCAAACGATCAAGTAAGTAGTCCTTCTGAACCGACCCTTTTGTTTTTGCAATCACCAGAGCACGCACCGGTTGCATCAGTAGCTTGGAACCTCGTAGCTATCCTCGCAACGTCCCGCTGCTTCTTGCCTCGTGCTAACGGTGAACGCTTAACCTGATCTAGTCTACACTTCGTTGGGGTTTTTGCCTTGGAAATTAATGCTTGGGTAGGTACAGAGCTGGAAATTCTGGCTCCTGCTTGCATCATTCGACAAGGATGTTTACAGCCTCGCGACCCTCGTTCTGCTTTTTGCACCAAATCCGTCCTTTTTCTCGTGAGCGAGATTCATCAGGCGGCCCGGCGGCCTGCCGTGCTCCACGAGCAGAGGCGGTAGGCGGTATTGCCCCTGTTTCCGAGTGGAACAAGGACCAGGATGCTAAACGGCAAACGCAGCCCACAGGCGGACAGCCGGACAGGCCTGGTTTGCGTTGCCAAACGGAGAGGTTTGGTAGCGCTGGCTGGCTCTAGCTGTCTAGCAGGCGGGCAAACATTGTTTGGTTTTCGTTGCTGTTGGATCTTTGTTCCGGACGTATAAGCCATGTTTTAGTCCATCCGAAGACGTGTTTCCAGGGTTGGAGTTGTTAGTGAGACTGTGAGAGTATGCTTTCTATTCGCTTTGATTTCAGTGGTTCACAAAAGAGGACTGACAACAGGAGGCAAAGTAGAGTGGGTTCAGACTCCACCACCTAGTTACGCAAAGTAGAGTCGTGGTTTGAAGTAACGTTGTCCTAAGTTGTAAAAAGTTTTTGTTTTTGCTTTGTTTATATAGTTACGTTTTCCTTTCTATCGTCCAGTAAAATTTACGACAAAGCTTTTGCCGTCCTTTTGAAACAAAAGAGGAGCGGGTCCTTGCTCTTTGGTACTCATATGGTTATAAAGTGCTGAGTGCTGACCACTTATAGAATATTATAAAACTAAATTTTCTTCTGTGGTAGTACCAGGATTAGTGGAAACAATCATTAATTCCTCTAAAAAAGGGTAGATTATCAAGCGGAGAGCCAAGACCACACCCACGCGCCTTTGCTTCAAGTGACTGATATAAAATGAAAATTCAGAAAGGTCAAAAGTCGTCATTTTTAACCTTCAGCCTCTTCTCCCCCAAAGCAGCCATAACAAAATTCTTAGGGGGTTTAGGGGGGAATGGATCCATTCCTGCTGGCTTCCATGACATTGTTGTTGTGCAACTCTGTATTGGAGCGACAACAAACCGGTAGTGAGAGTAGTGATTGTCGTATGGAATCCTCTAATTGTTAGGAGTGTTTTTTCCATCCAAAGACGTGGTTCTTGGTCTTAGGCCTTGTTTAGTTCCTCCCCCTAAAGTTTAGTCCCTATCACATCAAATGTTTGGACATATGTATGGAGTATTAAATATAGACTAAAAAATAACTAATTGCACATATTGCGACTAATTTGCGAGATGAATTTTTTGAGCCTAATTAGTCTATGATTTAACAATGTGGTGCTAAACATGTGCTAATGATGGATTAATTAGGCTTAATAAATTCGTCTCGTGGATTCCTGAGGACTTCTGTAATTTGTTTTATTATTACTCTCCGAACACTCACATGTGACATCCTCATGTGACACCCGAAACTTTAGACCCTGGATTTAAACACCACTTTAGTCGTGATTCGTGACATCATACTTTCTGTTTACGTCATACTTTCTGTTTACTTCCATTTCATGGTCCCTAACCTTAGCAGCCTGTTGTCAAAAAAAAAAAACTTAGCAGCCAAGTTATTGGATCGACAGTTGTCGAGACGAGGGACGTGGAATAAAAAATGTGGTACTGCATCATGTTTTTTCACATAACAGGAACATAAATAGTTTTTTCCGGAACGAGCAACTTTACCCGATTGCCAAGTTCCCATCACTGCATCACAGAGGGGATCAGAGGACTGGGTCCTGACTCCTGAGTACCACTGCATATGTAGTTGCTGACCATGTAGGAGTGTTCAACGCTAAACGCAAATCTTTCGTCTAGATAGAACACGAGCCCCGACGGGACAACGACGGGGAGGCAAGAGTCATAGGCCGTAGCCAACCTTGTGTGGCAGCGATTGGCATTTCGCGACACCCAGGTGGCCAAGATGGTCATGGTCAACCACGGCTGTTCCGATCTGGTGCCGCCCTCGTCTGCCACCCAACCTTCCGAGAAGACTCCCCAGCCCCTTGTTGCCTTATAAACAGAGAGAGGTAAGGCCGGCGGCCACCAAACTACGGGGAGGGAGAGAAAAAAAAAACACTCGTCTGACTTATTGAGCCATCAGCCATGGCCCTTTGCTCGCTACGGCACCGGCTGCCGCTGCCGCTGCCGCTGCCGCTCCTCCTTGCCGTCTTGTTTGCCGCTTCCCGTGGCGATCCTTCCGGCGACGACTACAACCCCTCCATATGCCAGCTGCAACCATACACATGCGGCAAAGTGAATATCAGATACCCGTTCTATCTTTCCGGCCAGACGGCAGATGTCCTGGGCAACAACAACTCCTCCTGCGGGTACCCTGGGCTGGCCATCGACTGTGTGGACGACAAGTATCCCACCATGCAACTCGGCAGCAGCAGCAACACAGCCTACTCCTACAACGTGACGGGCATCGACTACTCCAACTCCACCATCTCCCTCGCCGACCCGGATGTCCTTGATGATGAGAGCTGCCCATGGGTCGACCACAACGTCACCGTTTCGCCAACGCCAACCTTGTGGCTGAACCTGTCGGAGTGCACCGTTGGTTACCTCTTCTTCGCCAACTGCTCCATCAACACTCTCTCTGTCCCTGGACAACCTACCATCCAGCCGATCGCATGTGCAAGTTATGGTGTAGATGGTTATTCTTTTGTGATTCCTTCGGAGGTGCCCCACCAAACTTTATCACGGGAGTGCAAGCAAGTTATCCAAGTGCCGGTGATTCAGAACGCCTCACTGAAGATCGATCAGCAATGGAGCACCAACGGGTACGGCAACGCTCTTAACCAGGGTTTCCAGTTGGAATGGAATTCAAGCCGGAGGTCCGACCGGTGTGCCAAGTGCGAGGTATCCAATGGAAGTTGTGCATACAACAGAGATGGGGAATTCGTAGCTTGCCTCTGCACCAACGGGCGAGTGAGCGACCATGAATGCACCAAAGGTAAGCCCTTTCTGTCTTGTACTGCCTTTTCTCCTCCCTTTTTTTGTTTGAAACCAAGCCTTTTCTCCTTCCTTGGTGTCAAATTGCTAAGGGGATCCATTAGCTTGCAGCTTCATCAACTGTAAGTAGGGAGGTAGCTGCTAGTTGTAGCTGCTTTGTGTTTCTGTTTGACATGAATTAGTTTAATCTTGCTCAAATCTGACATTGCGTTTTGTTTGTTGGCATACAGGATCAAAACGGAAAACACCAATTATTGCTGGTAAGCACTACGCAGCCTATAGTCAGTACCCATCTTCATTTAGTCTAAAAGAGCAGAAGAAAAGCACATAATGAATTATTGGCATGACATGTTTTAGAATCCATAATTCTCAAAAAAAAAGTATCTGGAATCCACTAACCAATGACAGGAACATAGATAAATTGCATCCTCCTTTTGGGCAATAATCTGATGAGTTTCCACACTGACTAATGGTGCATTTTTTCTTTGCAAATTGAATTTTTAGAATGCCTTGCAGTTGAATTCATTTGTGATGCAGGTAGGGATGAAAACGGATCGGATACGAACGGATATCACTCATATTATATTTGTTTTCATATTTCTGTTTGGATTCGGATTCGGACACGGATAGCGTTCGGATACATATACGAATACGGATTGACTCGGTTACGGATACGAATAATGAGTATCGAATACGGTATGAATCGGATTCGGAGAAGGTCGGATACAAATATCTATTCGGATATTGAGTAAAAGCAGCATATATATATATATATATATATATATATATATATATATATATATATATATATATATATATATATATATATATATATATATATATATATATATATATATCATACGTGCGCAAACCATTACACCACTCTATGAGTCCATAATCCATCTAGATTAAGCCGAAAGACTAAAGAGTAAAGCAACAAATAAGATAAAGATACAGATACATCAAACATCATACAAGCACCAATCTTCGCGGCATGAGTAGAAATAGCCAAGCTCATGGCTTCATGGGTCTCATGGAGTCATGGTCATGGATTCAAGATCTATAATCCTTATATAGGCCATTTTTTTCATTTGAGAAAGTTTGAACAAAATGTAGTTCAAATTTCATAAGTGTGTGACATAGTTTTAGAAAGTCTGTATGAGATTTAAAAATTTGTGACTAGTGTTTGATAAAACTTTCTCAAATGGGAAAATGAGCTATGTAACAATTGTAGATCTTGCTGAGATGATCAAACTTGGTATTCAGAGTTTTTTCATCTGAGGTCATTTAGTGTCTCATTTGAGCAAGTTTGACCAAGTCAAATTTGGTCAAATGAAAAAACAACACTTTGACTCTAGTATTATGAACTCTAAATGGCTTTAAATTGAAAAGTTTTGAATACCAAGTTTGTTCAACTCATCAAGATCTACAATTCTTGTTTTGGTCAACTTTCCATTTGAGATAGTTTAGACGGTTCAAATTTGTGATTTTTAAATTTTGATGCTTACAAACTAGTTTTCGGAACCCTAGATTGTCTCAAATTGAAAAGTTTTGAATACCAAGTTTGTTCAGCTCATCAAGATCTACAATCCTTATATAGGCTATTTTTTCATTTGAGAAAGTTTGAACAAAATGTAGTTCAAATTTCACAAGTGTGTGACATAGTTTCAGAAAGTCTATATGAGATTCAAGAATTTGTGACTAGTGTTTAATAAAACTTTCTCAAATGGGAAAATGAGCTATGTAACAATTGTATATATTGCTGAGATGATCAAACTTGGTATTCAGAGTTTTTTCATCTGAGGTCATTTAGTGTCTCATTTGAGCAAGTTTGACCAAGTCAAATTTGGTCAAATGAAAAAACAACACTTTGACTCTAGTATTATGAACTCTAAATGACTTCAAATTGAAAAGTTTTGAATAACAAGTTTGTTCAACTCATCAAGATCTACAATTGTTGTTTTAGTCAACTTTCCATTTGAGATAGTTTGGACGGTTCAAATTTATGATTTTTAAATTTCGATGTTTACAAACTAGTTTTCGGAACCCTAGATTGTCTCAAATTGAAAAGTTTTGAATACCAAATTTGTTCATCTCATCACGATATACAATCCTTATATAGGCCATTTTTCATTTGAGAAAGTTTAAACAAAATATAGTTCAAATTTCACAAGTGTGTGACATAGTTTCAGAAAGTCTATATGAGATTCAAGAATTTGTGACTAGTGTTTGATAAAACTTTCTCAAATGGGAAAATGAGCTATGTAACAATTGTAGATCTTGCTGAGATGATCAAACTTGGTATTCAGAGTTTTTTCATCTGAGGTCATTTAGTGTCTCATTTGAGCAAGTTTGACCAAGTCAAATTTGGTCAAATGAAAAAACAACACTTTGACTCTAGTATTATGAACTCTAAATGACTTCAAATTGAAAAGTTTTGAATACCAAGTTTGTTCAACTCATCAAGATCTACAATTGTTGTTTTGGTCAACTTTCCATTTGAGATAGTTTGGATGGTTCAAATTTATGATTTTTAAATTTGACGTTTACAAACTAGTTTTCGGAACCCTAGATTGTCTCAAATTGAAACGTTTTGAATACTAAATTTGTTCATCTTATCAAGATATACAATCCTTATATAGGCAATTTTTTCATTTGAGAAAGTTTGAACAAAATATAGTTCAAATTTTACAAGTGTGTGACATAGTTTCAGAAAGTCTATATGAGATTCAAGAATTTGTGACTAGTGTTTGATAAAACTTTCTCAAATGGGAAAATGAGCTATGTAACAATTGTAGATCTTGCTGAGATGATCAAACTTGGTATTCAGAGTTTTTTCATCTGAGGTCATTTAGTGTCTCATTTGAGCAAGTTTGACCAAGTCAAATTTGGTCAAATGAAAAAACAACACTTTGACTCTAGTATTATGAACTCTAAATGACTTTAAATTGAAAAGTTTTGAATACCAAGTTTGTTCAACTCATCAAGATCTACAATTGTTGTTTTGGTGAACTTTCCATTTGAGATAGTTTGGATAGTTCAAATTTGTGATTTTTAAATTTTGACGCCTATAAACTAGTTTTCCATTTGAGAAAGTTTGGACGGTTTAAATTTTGAAGCACTAAATGATTTCAAACGAAAAAGTTATAAACAACAAAGTTTCATAACTTTTTGAGATCTACAATTTTTATTTTGATCATTTCTCCATCCAAGGTTGTTTGAATAATATCCGGATAATATCCGTTTTTAAATATCCGGATATATCCGATACTTAACCGGATTATCCGATATCCGCCGGATATCGATGATATTACATCCGTATTTGATATCCGCCTAAGATATCCGTTTTAGTATCCGTATCCGAAAAAAATTACGGATATCCGAGTAACTATCCAGATAAGTGTTCATATTTGTTCGGTCGAACGGATGGTTGAATAAATATCCGTACCGTTTTCATCCGTAGATGCAGGTATTGTTGCAGGCACGTTGTCACTTCTATTCCTGTGTCTAGTTATTCTCAAATTCTTCTCTGCTTCTAAAGATGGTTTGCTGCCCTTCAAATCGAAGGATGAACCAAGTGTTGAGTCATTTCTACGAAAGAACCTACGTCCAAAAAGATACACTTATGCATATGTGAAAAGGATGACAAAATCCTTTACTGTGAAGCTAGGCCAAGGTGGATTTGGTGCTGTATACGGAGGTAAGCTCTACGATGGCCGCCAGGTAGCAGTTAAGATGCTAAAGGACACCAAAGGTGATGGAGAGGAATTTATGAACGAGGTGGCTAGTATTAGCAGAACTTCTCATGTCAATGTTGTGACACTTTTAGGATTTTGCATACAAGGATCCAAAAGGGCACTTATTTACGAGTACATGCCTAATGGTTCGCTCGAAAGGTACGCCTTCAATAGCAACATGAATAGTGGAAATTCACTAAGTTGGGAGAAATTATTTGACATAGCAATTGGCACGGCCAGAGGACTTGAATATCTCCACCGGGGATGCAATACTCGAATCGTGCATTTTGACATCAAACCACATAACATTCTATTAGATCAGGATTTCTGTCCTAAGATCTCTGACTTTGGATTGGCCAAGCTATACCTGAATAAAGAGAGTGCTATCTCCATTGCTGGTGCAAGAGGGACAATAGGTTATATTGCCCCAGAGGTTTACTCAAAGCAATTCGAAATAATAAATAGCAAGTCTGATGTGTATAGTTATGGAATGATGGTCCTTGAGATGGTTGGGGCAAGGGACAGGAATACAAGTGGAAATAGTGAATCTAGTAGTCAATATTTCCCTCAGTGGATTTATGAACATTTGGATGACTACTGTATTAGTGCTTCTAAGATTAATGGTGAGATGACAGAGCTCGTGAGAAAGATGATAGTGGTTGGTTTGTGGTGCATACAAGTGATTCCGACTGATCGGCCAACAATGACTAGAGTCGTGGAGATGCTGGAAGGAAGCACAAGTAATCTGGAATTGCCACCCAAAGTTCTCTTGAGCTGACAAGCATAGATATTTTCCTACTGATAAATATTGCTAGCGTTACCAGGTTGTACAAATGCAAATATTTGTTATATAATATGCAGAACTAAGGCATGCATCAAATGCTATTTCTGTCCTGTAAACATAGATGTAATAATAACTACATAAGAATTTCTGGGCAGGGGTGCTCGTAGCTCATACGACACTGTATGATGGTGTTAGAGTACTTTGTTCAGACTTGAGACTCGCTGCAAGCACTGATTCTCTTCTGTGTACTTGTACACTAAGCACGTGCCTGCGGTGGGATTTGCTGACTGACGCGCCATAGTGGTGTGGATGGACGGGCAGATGCGGAAGATGGACATGACAGAGGACAGGAGGAATCTGCGTCGTTTGAAGCGTGTAGCATAGCGTGGATTGTAATGCAATGACAAATTAAGGCCCCGTTTAGATTTTATGGCAAAACTTTAGCCCTGCATTTTTAGTCCCTTGTTTTTTTGCTAGGGGATCCAAACACGGAGGCTAAAAGTGAGCAAATGGCTAAAAACTGGGCTAAAATCTTTTTGCTCCCAAAGAGGCCCTAAACTAGACTGAAAAGTGACTAATGTGCACAGTGGACAGGTGATGCCCCTCATTAATTGCTCCGACCCTGCCTCGTTTCCCACGCTTCCCATTCTCTCTCTCCCTCTCACTCGCATCTGCCCTCCCTGCCGTCGCGCTTCCTACGCCGCTGACACCGCCACCACCCCTGCGGCCATGGAGGAAGGGAAGAGGAGGGGAAGAAGGGAGGCGGGCGCTGCCCCTGCGGCGGCAAGCTCCAGCGCGGGCACATCTCTGGCGGCAGCTCCACGCGGGCGCGAGCGGTGCCCTGCCCTGGCACAGCTTGCCGGAGTCCGCCCCCGCCTGCGCGCCCCGCCTTGCCATGGCCACGTGCGCCCCCTCGGGCATCCCGCCTGCCACGACTCGCCAGTGCCCTCTACCTCTCCTCCATCTCGGTGGCCGAGCACCCCGGAGCGGTGTACCTCCAAGCGGTGGCCATCCGCAGCGGATCCGGTCTGTAGCGCCGCCCTCGAGGAAGGAGACTTGGAGGGGGCAAATCAGTCATTGTAAATTAGAGAACTAAAGTTTAGCTCATGAATCCAAACAATCCAGCAGAACTAAACTTTAGTCCTTGGACTGGTGATCCAAGCAGCACCTAAAATTGCGTCGTCTCGACTATGTGGCATGAAGGAGATGTAAGCACGACAGGCCGTGCCAAGGCGCAATCAGCTGCCGACTGTTCGTTTGCGGCTCAGTCATGTCAAAATTTCCATGTCCAAGTCGAAGAACCGGTAGGTGTCGGCCTAACTTCCGTCACTTGTCTCTCCCTTGCCCCCCCGCGCACACGCGCGTGATGTCCTCTGTCCAGCTCCTCCTCGCCGTAGCGGACGCCATTCCTGATTCCTGCAGCAAAGCCATGTGCGCCGGCCACGACACCCACTACCCATCCTGGCTCAACAACTCCTCCGTGGCCGCCGACTGCTGCTACGCCGGGATCGGCCTTGTCTGCGAGGGCAACTCGACGCTGATCCTCCCCGTCATGTCCCACAGATACGTAGTATTCAGCATCGACAACAAGACGCATACCGTCCAGGTCAGATCCTCCCAGCGTTCATCACCTCCATGTCAAATCGGCTTGTTTGGGTATCTCCAGCACCACCTCCGGCCCACCAACAACCAGCCTTCGCCAGTGCCGGTCCTAGAATTTTGAGGGTGCTCTGGCGATCTCGTCACGAAGGCCCTTTAGACCACATATAAAATCTTATAATATATATGCGCTAATTTTTGTTGCAAAGCGAAAACAAATCCAGTGATATATTTTTAATTTAACATGTTTGATAGTTATCGAGGAACAATGTAAACTAAAACGGCCTAGGAAACTAAAACGGCCCAGGAGTGGTCTGTAAACTCCATTTTTCTCAAAATGTAAATATCTTGTAAACATTATCGCGGGCCACGAGGGCCAAATAAAATTCAGGTGGCGAAAACCCCCCCGGTGACCGTAAAAAAAAGTAAACTAAAACAATAGTATATTTGTACTTCTAAAACTAATATGATTACCACAAGAAAGAATAGAACTCCATAATATACATTGCTTCTCATAAAAGGATACTTCTTCGGGCACTTCTTGATGTAGAATCATCAATGACGGTATTGAGATCAATAGTGTCCACTTATGTATAACACCTTTCTAAGATTCAATAAATTGATCTTCTAGTTTTTTCCGTTTTCTTTTCTGAGATCCCGACAAATGTTTCTTAGGTAACATTCTAAGATTCTAACACCTAAATTAAAAGAAAAATATGACTATGAGTACGAGTACTGGAAGTCTGAAATAATTAATTTGGATTAAAAAACGATTATGGGAAAAAATACCTAGGTGCTAGGGCCTGATCGGCAGATGAACTAATGAAGTGATGATTGATAAACTGATGATCGGCTGATCCGCCTGATCACGTCGTCATCGAGTCGAGCCTATGAGTGCTCCGTTTCCGTGTTTTCGGCTCTCTGTGGCGGTTGGCGGCGGCGCGGCGCGGCTTCGTCTCCGACTCTCCGTGACTCCATGAGACTGTGACCCTTCGCCCTGGGCGCTCGCGTACGTAGTAGACTCGCGGACTAGGGAAGCAAGCGCTCGGCGCTTCTGATCCTGAGTGTCTCGGGCTGCCTATCAAGTGCCATCGGACTATAGTGCTGGGGTCTACAATATACCTGGACCTGGACCCGTCCCTCCCCTGGGCCCTCGGCCGTCGCACCTCTGGCACCTCTCCGGGGCCAGCACTGGCCTTCGCCGAAACCCGGTCAAGACGTCAAGTCCACGGGACCTATAAGTCACAACTCACAAGAAACCAAACGTGTGCCCAGTTGGAGCTAACAAAACTATCTCGAAAAAAAGAGCTAACAAAACAGCCAGATGAGCGTGAACCCACCTTGCCTTCTCGCCGCCATGGCTGTTCACCTACCATGTCTCCCCGTCCTCCTCTTCGTCTTCCTCGCCGTTCATGTCCCCTCCTCCACCTGTGGCAACAATCTTCTGAGCACTTACGATGTCTCCATGTGCGAATCCTTCTCGTGCGGCGGCGTCGAAATCCGCTACCCGTTCTATCTTGCCAACGCAACCGAAGCAACTGCCGATTACAGCGGGAACTTCTCTTGCGGCTACACCGACTTGAGCATTTCCTGCAAACTCGAGGGGCAGACCTAGATCCCTACCATCCGTCTTGGTGACGACGACTACACCGTCGAGAACATATCCTACCACTACGACCATCAGACCATCCTACTGGTGGACAGCGATGTGCTCGGAGGCGCAGGCGGCGACTGCCCTGCTGTCCGCCATGAAGTCAGCTTCGACGAGACGTGGCTGCCACTGGTAGAGAACCGAGCTTTACTCCCGGTGGGGAACCCCCTCTAGTCCCGGTTCCCCACCCGGGAGCAAGCATCCGGGAATAAGGGGGGTCCTTTAGTCCCGGGTCAGGAACCGGGACTAAAGGAGGACCTTTAGTCCTGGTGGGTAACACCAACCGGGACTAAAGGTGCCTCCTGACATGCCACGATGGCCAGCACCTTTAGTCCCGGTTGGTAATACGAACCGGGACTAAAGGTTTTTTTCTTTTTTCTTTTCTTTTCATTTTTTTGTTTTCGAAGTCGTATTGTACGCTACTAATTATATATTTATACGCGCGTATATTATGTTTCGGTTCAAGCACAATTAACGTATTAAATCACACAATTCAAGCATAGAAAAAAATATATATATATGCATGCATGCATCATATATATATTTACATGCATGCATGCATATGTGTATTTTACATTATATTATTTCATGTGCATATATTACAAAAAGATTGCATTACAGTTGTTGTGATATAACAAGTTTTCTCTCATCCTCTAGCTTGGCTTCCATGGCAGTGTTGGGTCGAAGTAGAACTCGCCCTTGGAATCGATGACCTGCTCATTAAAAAATCCGGCTATAGACTCTTGAATTGCTTTTATTTGGTCTTGCCGTATGACCTTTTCCTCCAACCATCGAGTCTACAGGTTTGAATTAAAGGAAAATAAATTAATATATGTACATATATTTATATAAAGACATAGTAACACAATCAATAATAATAATTAAATGAATATATAGTGTATTTTTAACGTACTTTGAGTATCTCTGTAGGAGTTCTTTGGGAGATCACCTTGATAAACTTGCAAACATAGTAACCACAGTAGTTGTTCCCTGTTCTCGCCTCGAGACACCACTTTACTTTAAAAAGAAAAGATTTGTCATCCAATCTGGTGATCCGGTGAAAGCTATATGTTTAATTAATAAAGATGATGCGATTCGGGGACTTACTTTCAAAGGATTACATTCGATGGCGCTTTGCATTTTCCATGTGTTGCTTCTCAATAAAGGTTTTCCAAACACCGCCTAATAAAAAATTTGCCACGTCATCGATATAGTTAATCATCATGTTTGTGTGTATATATAGTTGCTAGAGATCCCGAAATTACCTCTGGATAATATCTATCATATCTTGGTAGTCTTGTTGTGGTTTTCTCATCGAGTCATAGATTATCAAGTGACTTTTCACCGATTGATGTCCATCAATATCCAAAGTGATTGCTGCATGTGTTTATAGGATATAACGCATAACACTCATTAATTAACTAGAATCAACATATGAGCCATTAAGGATGATCGATATTATTAACACTCACTTAAAGTTATAGGAAAGAGTATATCCTTCTTGTGGCGTTGGTTCACTAAGAAGTTCATGAGGTTACTCTCGACTCGCACTTCCAATTAGTCTTTGGAGTAATTGGGTCTTTGAATATTATATGGGGATCAACAAAACCAATTTCATTGCAGCCTTCCTTTACGAGCTCTCATCATTGTAAATCTACATATATATAGTACTTGTTAGGATAATTTATATGCATATACACACATATGATGAGTTTAATAATAGATCGAAAGAATTATTACTTAC